TGCCATACCAAACACTAGAATACAGCAACATGAGGAAGATAAAAGGGAGGGAAGTGGGCACCCTGAATCCAGGAAGGCTCTGAGGCACTAAATGAAGCCCAAGAGAGAGAAAAGGAAAACACCAATGAAGAGGAATGAGGTAGCAGGTTGCACCTTGTCCCTAAGATGGGATTCACTGCATAAGAGCTGCACATGGTGACTGTTGGTGACCCGAGTACTCCACAGAAAGACACAGCAGTGGAGGGCAACAGCAGATATGAAGGACTGCTCTAGCTGGTGGTGAGTGCTGAAGGCTCAGTGATCCTGTGCAAGACAGCTATTGGCTGAGAACCATCTTGGAGAGGGTCCAACAGAGCCAAGAACTCAGAGTGGCCGCCAGCTCCATTTGACAGCTCCCAGGGTTCAGGAATGAGGAAGATGGAATGATAGCTGCAGGCCAACTGAATATGGTCTTGGTCATAAGGTGCACACTCTGGGATTACCCACTACCTGACAACATGCTACTGCTTGCTTGCTAGAATGGATCAGCATGGATTCAGACTCTGTATACACATGTTGTCTACCAGTGACAGCAGAGATGTTACCTGGAAGTGGAAGTTGTATTCTGACTAATTTAAAGATAACAATATTCAATACATTCATCATTGTTACCCTCTTACCTTATTTTGCAAATTTGCTTTTTTTCTCTTTAAAATACATACATACATACATACATACATACATACAAACAAACAAAGAGTGCCGACTGGCTATCCACATGCTCAAGATTGAATCTAGACCTGTGTCTCTCACCATATACTAAACTGAAATCCAAACAGATCAAAGATCTAAACATTAAAGAAGAAATGCTTAAGCTGCTGGAAGGTAAAATTCTTAGAAGACAAAGCTGTAAGCAAGGACTTTCTGACTAGAACTACAGTTGCACAAGAATACCAAGAATCAAAAAACAGGATCATATCAAATGTTAAAGGTTCTTCACTTTTTTTTTTAAGAAATCACCAAACCAAAAAACAAGACAACAACAACCAAAAAAAGTATAAAGAAATAAACTATAGTGGGAAAAATAATTTTTGACATCTATTTACTCATCAGAGAACAAATACCTAGAATATATACAGAACTCAAAAAAAAAAAAAAAAATTTTAAATGCCCAAACAAAACACACATCACAAATGGCCAACCAAAATGAACATACTTTCTCAAAAGAAGCATGAACGACTAATAAATATAAGAATAAATGTTCAATACTGCTGGCCACTAGAGAAATACAAATTAAAATAAAACTGAAATTACATCTTCAGAAAGAATGGTTATCACCAAGAAATCAATAACAAATTTAGTGAGGTTGTAGGAGAGGAAAAACAGGAACTCTACATTGTTGGTGTGAATGTAAACTGATAAAACCACTCTGGAAATCAGTACAGAGATTCCTCAAAAACTAAAACTAGAAATTCTATTTGACCCATCTAGTCTCCCCTCTAGATATCTTCCCAAAAGGGTTAAAAACATTATATTTACACATCACAATGACACATGTATAACCATTCATTAGTTGCACAATTCACAGTAACTAAATCTTGGAAGCACCTTATATGATCATGACGAACACATGAAAGGATAAAGAAAATGTGGCACTTATATATAATTCAATACCACTCTGCATAAAGCAGGACAAACTTGAATCATTCACAGGGAAATACATGCACAAAATAGATGTCACCATGTTAAGTGAAAAAAATTGAACACACAAGCTTATGTAGTGCATGGCTTGTGTTATATAAGAAATCCAAATATAAATGAAGAGCAAAATAAAAGACGGGGTGTGAGGTGTTCTTAGAGGAGCTCTTGATTCATTAATCAAAACACTGATTTTATTTCTGTACCTTGTTTCTGATATTTGACATTTAAAAAAAATCTTTCTAGGCTTTATTTACTCTTCATGTTTATATTACTTTGTATTTTTGTCCAGTAAATTGACCTTTGGATGTATGGTGGCTCTTCTGAGAAACTGTAACTACAGAAGGCATATACTTAGTGGAAACCAAAAAATTAACCCCATCAATTTCAACATAAATATGCATACTATTATTTCAATTTAAAAAAAAAAAACTGAAACAATTTATTTAGAAAAAGGTATACATTATTCTCTATTCTAAGATAGGTTTTAAGGCTGGTTATAACCCACTAAATCGATTCCTTGGCCCTGCATGAAATGGGCTGATAATCAGATGTGGTGGTGCACACCTGTCATCCCAGCACTCCAGGAAGACTACAAGTCTGAGCCTAGCCTGTGTATGACTCAGCAAGAACGGATATCAAAAAAAAAAAAAAAAAAAAAAAACAGTTTAAAGGGGTGGGGATTATGGGTCAGTGGAAGGCTGCAACTTCAATCCATCATATTCCAAAAGAAAGAAGAAAAAAAAGTGAATAAATAAATGACCTGAAACCTGCAATTTGAAAAACACAACTTAAAGAATACAAAAATCATCTCACTGATTAGATTATAAATAAGTTACAAATATCTAATGGCCCGCCACCTCTTTCACTGATGAGAAAAAGGTCAAAGAATTAAAAACATCAAATAATGATGGCTTACTTTCACCTGTGAAGACCATAGGCAAAAAAGCCCAATTGTCAGTGCAAAAAAAAGCAAAATAGTACCCCCATAAAAAAGAAATTCTAATTTGGCATTTAATGCCCAACACTATTACTGTTAATCTATCACTGCTTCCTACATGTGCAACCCTATTAGGAGTAACCATACACGTATAATTACTTAGCAATATCAGGTATATAAAGTGAACCGTTACATACTTATGTTATTATATCTCCATACATACATCCATATTTTTCCAGATAATTCTTAATACCTGTCAAGATATCAAAGTATGCATTAGATATGAAATATAGGTTATCTGATTCTTAAATTTTTAGCCACTCACATGTAAACTTCCAGTAATAATAGTGATTGGAAGCCAGGCATTGCAGTACCATATATGCCTATAATCCAGTATCCTGGGAGGCTGAAACAAGAGGATCACAAGTTTGAGCCCAGCCAGAGCAACTTAGTGACTTAACAAGAAGCTGTGTCAAAATAAAAAATTTAAAAGTAGCTGGAGATAGAGGTCAGTGCAAAGCCCTGGGTTCAATCACCAGTTCCAGGAGGGGGATTAGAAAGTTGGTGGTTACAAACTCTGGCTGTGCATCCTCTCTGGAATTCAAATGAAACAAATAAAGAGGCCAAAATACTAGGCCAGAGAGAAATTTTCAGCTTGATGTAACAAGTACTATAAAGAAATATATTCTATAAACAATGCACTGCATGCTATCTTTAAACCATTATGCCTGAAAATGTCCCTTTTGGCAGGTAGATCCTGGTATGTGGTATTATACATAAAATTCTATGTTGAAATCAATGACTATTTTGGCTAATAAGCAAATGCATGTGATTAGACTGTTTTTACAGACTAAATTTTAATATAAAACAGTTTGTCTGAGCTTTAAAAATTAAATTATGGAAGATGCCACCCAAAGGAAAAAGAGGTTCTGGGGAAGAAGCAGCATCCTCTGGGAGTGATGGCGCTGACAAGAAGGCTCAGGGTCCCAAAGGTGGTGGCAGTGCAGTAAAGGTCTGACACATTCTACGTGAAAAACAGCAAAATTATAAAAGCCATGGAAAAGTTGAAGTCTGGGATGAGATTCAGTGAAGTAGCCACACAGCATAATGAAGATAAAGCCAGGCAAGGGGGTGACTTGGGTTGGATGACCAGAAGCTCTATAGTAGGACCATTTCAAGAAGCAGCATTTGCCCTGCCTGTGAGTACAGTGGATAAGTTTGTGTTTACAGACCCACCAATTAAGACAAAGTTTGGATATTATTATTATGGTTGAAGGGAGAAAATAAAATTATATGAAAGATTAAAAAAATTAAATAAAAATTAAATTCCATTAAGAATTTAACAGAAGGATGATGATGAAAGGATCTTAACAGAAAGCAGCCTGAAAACTCATGGGCTGTACCACCCTATTTCTATTCAGTTTTTACCCATTACGTTTACTTTCCCAATGTAATTCCCTTAATACGTAAAAGGTAAATAATTTTGAACTTTATGTAACATTTGTGAATTCAACATTCTGGGTTGGTCCACTTCTATCATTCTTGAAAATTTTTAGTGGCAGCCACAATAAAAAAACTGGGTTTCCAAGATTTCGAATTTAAAAAGTTCTGACTATCTCATTCAGGTAAATTTTACTATATAAAAAGCTAAAGGATTTTTGGTGGCGAAATTTATTACAAAGCCTAGAATGACCACTCCTAGTAACTGTAAGTAACAACAAGACTACATATAATACATGAATATGTGCATACACAGACAGACAATAGTCACAATATTATTTTTAAATCATTTTCATCTAAGTGAAAATACTTTTTAAAAGAAAAAACTGTACTAGAAATGGCCCAAATAAGAATTATTTTGTTGGTCGTGTCAATACTCCAACTTCATGAATTTATCCAACTGGTTCTAGTCCAGACTATCATGAACTGACACCACCACTGAGAACCAGTTCATGATGTAAATGAGAAAGTAATTATACACTAACACATGAATAATCTCTAGAGTATTTGCTGAAAGAAATCATAATCCATTACTATTGAAACCTAAGGAAAATATTTGCCCCTAAATTTGTTTAGAGAAAGAGCAATTTCCTTCAAACACGGTTACTCCTGGTGTTAACATTACTGAATCATTTAACTGCATGGGAATTATTCAGTCAAAAACAGTTCCAGTTCCTACAGATTATATTTGTTTATCTCAAAAAGGGAAAAATCTTCAAACATAAAATATGATTTCTGAACACAAAATACCCCCATAAATCCATAATCACATCTGCAATTTAAAATTTTAAAATATCTTAAATTATGCAATAATTAAATATAGATTCATGAGTTTTCATTCTACTCATGACCTTAGGTTCACTGGGAGAGTTCTAAAGCATACCTTTTAATCCACGCCATGGTACTTCAAGAACATGTTAAGGTAAGTCCCAGCTTGGAACACTTCGATGCACCTCAAAACACCTCAGCCAGTATCTGTATCACTCTCCTTTTCTTTTGGGATCATAATGGTTCCGAAGAACTATAATGCTTCCATTTGAATGATAGTCTCATAATTTCAATGACTTAAAAACAAAAACAAAAAATAACGACTTAAGTGTTGATATGTTAAGCCACTAGTGCACTGTGTCAACTGCTGCCATGACTAAGAAAAATGAAGTTTTTCTAGTACCATGTAACAGTCATTTTCAATGTGAACCTCCACAGGAATATGTGTCTGCCCTTGCTTTACCAGTCTTTTATGTTAAGTACCACAATTCCATATGCCAATTATTTCTTCAGTTTTCTTCTTAAGGAATATAAACAACCTAATAGATCTGAAGACTTGCTAAGTACCTGGTCTAACTCTGAAATATAGTATTCTTTCTAAAGTGAGGTAAGAGGGCCGGAGAAATGGCTCAGTGGAATAAGTGCTTCCCTGGCAAGCACAAGGGCTTGTGTTCGATCCCCAGTTCCGGAAATAAATAAATAAATAAATAAATAAATAAAATAAAAAATAAAGTGAGGTAAGAGCTGGAAATAACCTGCATCCCTGTACTAAAGGAAATTTGTTTAGAGATAGAACAATTTCCTTCAAACACCATTACTCCTGGTGTCAACATTACTGAATCATTTAACTGCATGGGAGTTATTCAATCAAAAATAGTTCTAGTTCCTACAGTTTATATTTGTTAATAAAATGCATATAATTGAACAGATAGGCAGCAATGCTATCATGAAATACATATTTGTTCTTAACCCCTGTTTCTAGCATACATCTCCTAAAATCCTTGGACTCTGCAATCATAGGTGTCTTTTTTGTATGCTATGAGTTGACAGATGGCTGGCAGCTTCCAGGTAGTTTCTCAAAGGGGGTACCTGGCAGGATTAATTTTGGAACTTTCAGCCCCTCGCCACTATTTCTGCGAAGGGGAGAGGGTCTTAAGATTAAACTGAATACCAACAACCAATGACTTAATCAATGATGTATACAGGTAATGAGGTCTCCATAAAAATATAAATGGACAGGTGTAGAGAACGAAGGCTATAGAAGTTCTGGAACAGCCATGTGGTGTACCCAGAGAGCACAGAAACTCCAGGTCCCTTCTTCCCATATGTTGCCCTATTCACATCTTCAGCTGGTGTTCATCATACCCTGTGTAATACACCATACAATAAACCAATAAACGTGAGGGTTTTCTTCAGTTCTGAGCTGCTATAGGAAATTAGTGGAACTCGGGGGGGTTGCAGAAGCTCCAGTTTATAGTTGATCTAGCAGAAACACAGGTAATACTAGCTGGTGCTTGTGTGTTGTACAGCAGGGATAAGAAAGTAGCTTTGTGGGGACTGAGCTTTTAACCTGTGGGATCTGCTTTTACAATTGAAGTGAAGCAGAGAACAATCAGACAGTGTCTACTGCAGAGCTGCTTGTTCACTTGGTGGGGCGGGGGGGAAATTCCACATACATTGGGCTACAGAAGGCTTCTATGTTAACTGCTTAGTATGAGAGCAGAGGAAAAATTCTTTTCTACAGAATGGCTAACCATCTAGTTTTATTGCCAAATGTATGACTGTCTTGACAAGTATCTCTGTCTCCCTTCTTTACCTCATCATTCTTATATAAAAACATTAAAATCTACCATTTTTAATATACAGTAAGGTGTATATATCACATTTTAAATCTAAGAATTTATACTGCAGTAGCTGCAAGCTTAATATTATGCAGTTACCAGGAAGAATACTAACACAAAACAAAACTAAGTGATAACTTATCAAGAAGTACATACTTTACTGTCATAAAAATTAAGATTACTTGAGGATGAATGACCACGCAATTTTTAATAAAGCTAACCCATAAAGAGGGATTCCATGGAAAGTAGGTGAAAGAAATTCCATTAGCACTCTAGGTATACTGAGCAGCTGACACAAAGGTTAATACGCAAAGAGCAGAAGATGACAGTTTCTCAGCTAAGGCTAAAGAACATGTGCTAAGGAGAAAGTGAAACTTATTTCCTGTGTGAATATAGAGTCAACTGATGGAAATAATTTCAAGGCCAGTGTCAGCAAATTTTGACACATTTCTAAGATTTAGATTTTTGTAGATTATGCATAATACAGATTACAAAATGGAGACCACTTTTCAGAAAGTTGGTAAGCGTGACAGAATTACATACAAAAAAAAAAAAAATCTTGACTAGACTAGAAAGTAACTAATGAAAAGAAGCAAGGGATCTAGTCTAACGAAATCTCTGTTTGTAGCCACAGCCATCTTTTTAAATGGATGATTTTACCACCTCCCTACTCCTGCTTAAAACCAGTGAATGGCTATGTATATGCACACACACACGTGTGTGTGTACGTGTGTATCTATCTCCCAGATGAACATCACATGTTTCCTACACTCTAGTCCTCCAAATAAAAATATCCTACCCATTAATGCTCTTGAAACACAGCTCTTTCCCGGCATGGAAAACAATGTTTATCACTGGAAAGTGAATCGAGATCAGAAAGTAAAACATAAAAGTCTAGATCTGAATGGTTTGTATGTAGTTATTCTCTCAAAGCCTCATGCAGTCCTTGGGGCATAGTTCTAGAATTTGGGTTAATTTATTATCCAAGGCTGGGGTTATGGGTGTGAGTGCTGTGCCCAGCCAGGGGAGAGCCTGAATGCAAAATAAGGGAGACAGACTTGTTCTCTCTTGCCATTGTTGGGGGCCTGCCCCTTAGTTCATTTCTTTAAATGACTGCTTCAACAAAGCAGTCAGGCTCAGGTTGCTGTGGTTCCCTACAACTCAAGCCAGCCAAACCTGCCCTGAAGGCATTCGGAGCAAAAAAAAAAAACAAAAAAAAAAACAAAACCTTCTCTGTTGCCATTGTTGCTGCTGCTCCTCCCTTTTGTTCTTGCTGTTTTCGGCTGCCATGAACTGCTGCCGACTGCCATGTGCCACTCTGCCTTGGTGCCAACTGAGTAGGGACTGAAACCTCCACAAACTTTGAGCTAATAAATCTTTCCTTCCTTAATCTTGGGTATAAGGTATTTTGTCCTAGCAATGAGAGAAAAGTAACTGACACCCCATTTAATATTTAGAGCCCTATTCTACAAAGAAGATATGTAGTACTCAAGAAAATATATGTTGTAAAATAAAAGAACTGAGGCAAATTCAATTCTTCTAGCTGGAATTTCAGCAATTCTATTCCTCCCATAATACTGTTGCACAATATTACTGGGGAAAAAATAGTGCTGGTGCTAAAATGTGTTAATAATATACCAGCTACTATCATGTCTTTTCTGTAAAATAGGGCTCTTTTCCTCGCAAAGGTGCACTGCCATAGTTTTTCAGCTTTGTCTTGTCCCACAGGCTCCTACAGATCTATCCTCAAGAGAGCAGAAATCATTTCTAAGCTGAGAGGTAAATCTACGCAGTCAGATTATCAGTAATAATAAAGACAGAAATGCAGAAGGGATAGTTCCTTACAATGCTTCAAATAATTAAGCTAAAAGAAAAAAAGCCACTGACAAAAATCCCCCAAGAAAAGGAAACTCCTAAGCAACTTCAAGATGTGAGTGGAAATTTATCCACTACTATAGCATTCCAGAACTGATTACAGAACTACCAGACCATTTAGTCAGCAAGTTAGATAAACAAACCACTTGCTATCATTTGCTAAAATGCTACAACAATTTTGCAAAATTACCATACATGATGGTTTAAAATCTGTTACAGTAAAAAACAAATGGTCATTTAAAAAACACCTTCACTACTAATAATATATGTATACTGTATAACTCACTGTTACAGCATCAACATCCAGCACAGTGGATTATAAAAGAAATGCCCATCAGGAATTCAAACATTCTAATGCCAATCAGAAATTAGTTACAAAAAGTATTTGTTAAAAAGCTCTATGCAACTATCTATAAAACATTTTATTTCATCTTGTCCTTTTTATAGAAGAAACAATTTCCAAGCCAGTTATTAAAGCATCCTCCAAACGCTGTCACGTCTAAAGAGGATAATGTTGGTATTTCATCTACCTATCTTTAATTTTATCATTAAAGCCTGAATACAGTAAGCATTATGAAGTAAGCGAAAATGTTACACAGCTATTTTGAATACATGAATGAATGCATAATATCGAGTTCATGGTAAGCAAGTGTGATGTGCTCTAAAACACGTTGTGCATAAAATATTCATTGAATGAATGGCAGTAAACGTAGGGATGATTTCAGAGAGAGAGACAGAGAGGGAGAAGAAAACAATTTACTGCTAGAAGATAGCTCAAATTTAAAATGATACTTGGTACAGTTAATTTCCCATTGTTAAATTAACTTGCTTAGGGATTATACTTTGGGGATTATTTACATTGTATCAAAACTTTTATTTCCAATTAATACCAATGTATATATTCCTCACACTAGAAATACATTATGACAGTATGAAGAACAGCAAAACTATTTGGCATGATGGTGCACACCTATAATTTCAGCACTTAGGAGATTGAAGCAGGAGGATCACTAGGAGTTCAAGGCTAGCCTGAACTACATAGTAAGACCCTGACTGAAAAAAAGCAAAAGCAAAAGCAAAAGGAAAACTCGAGCCAGGGAGATAGCTCAGTAGAATAAGCACTTGCCTGGCAAGCACAGGGTCCTGAGGTCAATCCGCGTTACCGCAAAAAAAAAAAAAAAAGAAAAAGAAAAAAGACAGAAGAAAGAAAAAGGAAAACTCTTAAAAAATAATTTAAGTTACCACAAGTAAAACTTTGATTGAATTTTATTTGCAAATAGAATTCACACTTAACTCACCATTACAAATATTTAGTGTATATTAATTCATATTTTCTTCATAGTACAGCTATTACAATGAATGCCACCTTTTCAAAAACAGAAAATAAGCTATCTAGAGATTAATTTAAGTACCTAGATGTTACTTACCTTGCCTGAGGTCTTATAGTTTGCAAACAGTAGAGGTGAGAATCAGACCTAGGCAGGGTTCATTCTTGAACCCTCAACTTTTACTGCCTGGCACCTTTGGTAAGTCTGTATGCATCAGCAGACTCCACACCTGCAAATTATAACCAACTACAA